ATAATAATAATGATGAACTTATCCACGTTAAATGTTAAGTTTCGACTTTTAATCGGCAATAATCAAAGGGACCAATGTCACCTTTCATTACAATTTGTAAGTTATGTATATATATGTTTTAAGAAATAATTAAACCTTTAAAATATGAATCTTAACATACAAAGTATACATAATTAACTAAAATATAAAAGTAAAACCTAAATTCAATCTAACTGTCTATCAAACTAATACATATAAGGCAAGAGAAAATTGCCAAGCGCTATGGACACCACTCTCAACAATGAACTTGTTATAATGGCTCTGAAAGTAAATCTATACCATATGTATCATGTAAGGATAAACGACCTTGAAGAATGAAATCTGCTCTTTCTATTGGTTATAAGCTTGGTATTCAGCTTAGAACAGTTGCTAAGTCACCCAGCTTTTATTTTGCAAGTGGCCATAGCATAGCTTGTACTCGAGAATGTCTATAACAATTTCATTTCAAGGCCATTTCTATAAAGTTGTATCAAGTTACTAGTAGACAAGCTCTATGTACATGTAGTCTACTATCAGCAAGAAAGATATTTTTAATCGTGATTGTTTCTTGTATAACAAAATCTAAAGTTCAGTTGCTATAGCCACTTGCACTTCAAGTGAAAGCAAACGTGAAGTTCTTAATTATTCGTTTAGCAGTTTCTTTTGAAATAAAGGAATAAAAATTTAAATAATATAAAACTTTGAATCATAGCATACTTGATAACTCTAATTTCATTAAAATACATTGATAGTAAAGTGGTTTGATTAAATTTTGAATGCAACTCAGTAATACTTTGTGACATGTGCAGAAAGAGATTTAGAAATGGAACCAGAGACTATAGGGTTAAGGGACTTTGTTTCTTTCAAGTATGAACTCTCAGGTTCACGTAACTTCAATTTTCTGTACGAGTGAGGAATATTGTCACAATAGTTAAGTTTAAACTTAGCTACTGGAGGCATGTTAAACATGGATGATGTGACAACCATCATGCATAGTGTGGTGAGTTCCATTATGCAGTTGGGGAGTTTTGGTGCTCATCCATTCATCTAGCATCCTTCCCCTCATTCTGAGGGGAGGGGGGAGTATGAAGAGTTAGACGACTTTAACCATTTTTTCTTCCTCCAGATTATGGCCAAAGAACCTCTCTTCTGGTTGAGGCAAATTTTCGAACTTCCTCATATTATTGAGACCTTATAACTTAGGTATATTCTATTCTCTAATTCCTGTGTCATATTATGCTTCCTGTTCCCTCCTTCATAACCCTACCCTGAACAAATTTTATCTTTCCCTCTTCTCCACTACTGGTGTTCATGTTACTTCCTTTTAAGATCATCTACTTTCCCACAATTATACGCCTCATCCTCCTTGCCTTTCTTATTCCTTTCTCATGGCCTACAGTCGTTCAGACTTCCTCTATCTGAAGTTGCAAACTTTAGAGTCTCTTTTTGTCTGTTTGTGGGGCAGACATATTATGGTCAGCATTGCTCTCCAGTGCCATATTCTCTCATCTTTGCCTCATCCTTTCTGTGTTTTTTTACTTTTCCTCTCTACACCTTATGTTAGAGGCACTTCACTGAGCCCCAGATGATTTTATTAGCAATTCTTGTTCCTTTCTCCTTTTTACCATAGCCCATACTACTACTACTTTTGCCTTTCTTCCTGTTCATATGGATTATTTGTTGTTGGACTTGTTGGATAGGGGTACCCCTCCTTGCCCGTGTTCAGCTTCTTTCCATCTTTTTAATGGACTCCACCTTGCTCTATTTTTGGAGGTATTCCTGATTCAGTTGAATCACATGTGGAAGCTGCCCATCATCAATCCTCGTTAAGTTTGTTGGTTACTCGACTGTTCCAAATCCCTTATCCCACTCCTGTATCTCATCCTAGTCCCCCTGCTTCCCACATTTTCTTCCTTTCTTTCTTCTGCTCAACTGTCTTCAGTCCAGCATCAACTGGCTCTAAATTGACTACAGAGTAGATTCGGATCTCATGAGGGCTTGTCTGATACAGTATTCTCACCTTTGGGAACAACTTTCTACAGACAGATGGGTTACTCTAGCTCTCACTCACAGATGCTCCCTCCCATTCCCCTCACAACCCACACCCAGTTTACTTCCCTTTTTCTTTGGATCCCATCTATCTTCAACATTTGGAAGATTCAGTGTGGGAGCTGTGGCATAAACAAGCCATAGAGAGGGTGTAAGACCCTTCTTTGGGGTTTTGCTCTTGCCTCTTCATGGCACCTAAAAAAGACTGGGGATTAGCAATTATTTATTGACCTTTCCTCCCTCAATCACTTCATAATCTTCCCTCATCTTCATATGGAAAATTTATTTTCCTTTCATTGGTCCTTTTCACCCAGACTATAGATGATCAAGGTCGTAGGCTCATACACTTTCCTTAATATTCCCATTGCAAGGTCTTCAATACAGACAAGGTATGCATTACCATTATTACATAGATGATTGGCTTCTCCTGCCCCACTCACAGGTAAAGTCTTCCCTTCACACCTCTCTTCTTCTGTGAAAAGCTGCCCATTTGGGATGGCTTGAAAAAACTTCCAAATCCTTTCTAACCCCCACTTAATGTCTAGTTCACCTGGGAGTATTCTTCGACTCATTTCTCAGCTGAGCTCAACCTTCTCCTGTCCACTTGAAAGCTCTAGAGCTTTCTGTCACCAAGTCTTTCCTACTCATATTGGATGAGAGATTCTATTACTTTAGGGAACCCTGGATTCACTTATTCCTCTGGATCTTGCTCATATGTGCCTCCTCTATTGGTCCTTGCATGACCAATGAAAACTCTTACAAGAACCTTTGGACACAATGGTTCTCTTGTCTTTTCCTCTTCTTAAGAACCGTTCTTGGTAGCCTGATTGCTCCAGTACTTGTATCTCCACCCAAACCTGACTTACACATCTTCACCAATGCTTTCCTATTTGGATGGGGAGCATCTCTGAATGACATTCTTACATCGGGCACTTGGACCCAGGAGGACTTCTCTCTCCACATCATCATGCTCGAACTTTTGGCAATATGTCAGGCTTGTTCCTATTTTCTACTACTCCTGGTGGATCATTTAGTTTTGACTCACTCCGACAACTCTACAGCTGTTTCCTACATCAACTGTGAGGGGAGTAATTCTTTATTCTCCTGACCATCTCTCTGCATTTTTACCTGACTGTGTGATGAAGGATGCCTCCCATGGCACCCTTATTTCCCAAAATTCCACACTGAGCCAGGATAATGGAAAGTGCTCATACCATCCACCCATATATGCCCGTTCTTGAGACTGGGTGTTCCCCAAGACCGCTTGAGGTATCCTCGTGGTATACCCTCATATCTGTCTACTGTCTGATCCAGGCTGTACCTATTCCATATACTATCATGGAAAAAAAACTAGCATCATAGGGTGCACCCCCTGCTTCCCCGGCTCGCACTTGCTGGCTTTTCAAACTAGGTTCACACAGCCACCTGTTGTACTGTCTCTAGTGAAGGACCTTTACAGCTGAAACAGAATTGATGGAGATCCAGGCATTTTCTCCAGGTCTCCCATCACTAATTCCTCCTCCCTTGTATTTTTTTCCAGTGGAGTAAGGGAGACCCTTACCATTTATCAGTTCTTAACTGCTGGGGTGGTGGACCATGGATAACCTTCACCGATTGTGACCTAACAGCTGGGGCTGAAACAAAGGTTACCAATCAGTGGGAAGTGGAGCAGCAGTGAAATTATCAGTGTAGTGCATGTCACCCCTCATATAATTATCCCTACAACATACCAGAAGCACTTCTTACTATACTGTGCCCTCCTCCTGCAGTCTACTTCTGTTCAGTAGAGTTGAGGTGCACATGCACCACTATACCATGTCCTCTTCTGCAGTCATGTCTGTTCAGTTGAGTCGTGGTGAGCACACATTGCATGCTTCATATTACATAATTAATGACATTACTTTCTGCACCCTCCTAGAGTTTAGGTGAGCATGCACCACTATTACACACTACAGCATGTATTTTGTGCACTTTTCCCACAGCTGATGTCATTCAAGAGTCTGCTGGTAGAGTTGAAACAAGCACACACACACTATTAGTCTCTGTACCCTTCTCTCACATCTAGTATCAATCTAATAAACCTGATGGTAGAGTTCAGATTTGTACTATTTACAGTCTGAATGCACCTCAACCACACTACACATATTGGTTTTTTTACCTCTCTTTGGCAAGTACTCAGATGGCCATGTTCTTATTCTGCCCATACCCACAACACATTGAGCTCATTTACCTCTTCCTACCATCTACTCTGGGTGAACAGTGTACCCTGAAGGAGATGAGATGCAGTCTCCCTCAAGTGTGCCCTTATGGAGCCCCAACTATCAGGTTTCACACTCCATGAGTTTTCTTCGGGTGCTTTCTGAAGGGAGCTCATCTAGGTAAGTTTTGTACATGTCCACCTAATCAATATGAGATTCTAGTTTTCTGTGTGAAGAGGTGTATATTATCTTGAAAGTTAACTTTTTCCTTACCTGAAAATGTATTTCTGATAGATACCTCTTCCCACATTTCCAATGCAACTTAGTATTCATTACCTCATCAAAGAATGAGTGCAAAAGCATAAAGGGAGCTATTGCACAAGGAGGTTGTGTTGACCTTTTATTGATGGAGGGCTTTTATTGCATGATAATGTTATTATGCAGTAGTGAAACTCACAATAAATCTCATGAGTTTTGTTGGGAGTTACCTAAAGACTAGCGGCATGCAAATCTCTAAGTCAGACGCACAGGGAAGATAGCTTTCTGGGTGAGGAGGTGAGTATTTATCAGAAATACATTTTCAGGTAAAGAGAATGTTGACTTCAACAAGTTATAAGGAAAGAAGAAGAAGAGAGAAAACTATTTATCTAAACCTAACTGTTCTTTGCATTTTCCAGTAGTAAATAAGATGTTGGAAGCAGTGTAGAAAAGAGCCCTTTTGTGGTGTATATTTATGAATAAGACATTAACAAACATACCAATTGAATAATAGTTGCATTTAGCATTGTGTAATTATGACATTGATAAAAACACTTTTACTATGTATGTTAATTGAGTTACCTATATAGTTAAGTTATAGTGGTATGGTAATTTTTCTATTTTGTTTCTTCTAGGGCTGGTATATAGTTACTTATGCTTTAGGTATTTATCATCTAAATCTGTTAATTGCTTTTCTCACACCAAAAGTTGATCCTGGACTTCAAGAAGATATGGGTAAGGATTTTTTTTTGTTTTTGTTAGAAGTTGTTTATAATAATTAAGTATTTTAGAAGTGGCTTGAACCACATTTAATGTTAATGGTATTTTGACTATTCATAAATTAGCTTTTTCTATACATACAACCCTCCAGTGGCACAGCAGTAGTCTGAAGGCTTTCAACACTGAAATCAGGTTTTGATACCTGTGGTGGGCACAGCAAAGATAGCCCATTGTGTAGCTTTGTGCTTAACAACAAACAAATACATACATACATGAAATATACTCACAAAACTTTTATGCTGATGTATTTTTATGCAATATATAATCTTTTACATTTCATCTTTGAAAGTTGTGTGTTAGTGTCTTTAACATTGAATAAATGTTTTACATACTACAAAGAATTAAAAAGCTATAAAAATGTATATTTGCTACTAGACAGAGATTATGGGCTCATTCATTATGGGCTTACATATTTATAAGCCCTCTTTATCAATCTAAGAGAATAAAATTCATTATACTTAATTTATCTTCATTTTATTGGTCTACTGACTAAGGGGAAAGACCAACCCCAAATTTTCCTGATGTTAAATGCTCAAAATTAAATTTGTAATTGTAAAGGATATGTATTCCTTGTTTCTTTCATGTGATTTATTGTAAGTATTGATTATTTGCAACTACTCTGTATATGACTTGTTCAGCAAGCATACATTGTACAAAAGCAAGGTTTGCAACATTAAATAAAAAGAGAATAAAATTACCTCCTTAATGCAACCACCATGTAACCATGATGCTATATGTACTTACAACTCTGAATGACTAAGGGTATTGTCACAAAACTTGTCTAGCTTTTAGTAAAAATTTAATAAGGTATTTTTACTAAATATTTTTTGTGAATTTATGAAGCCTTTACTGAGTCACAGTAAGGCAAAGTTATCTTCATTTATAAGAATGTAGAAACGTTTTTTCATCTTACAGTTTCGTATTTCATTTGCGTATCTTGTAGAACCTCCTGAATGAATATCAAAAGTTCTTTTTTGGCCAGACTTCATATTTTATTTCTTATTTCCTCTACCATAACACTAACTGTAGTGAAATCATAAATGTACAGTGAAATGAAAAGTTGAAAAATACAAAATAAATTAATGCCTTTTTTTACTAGAGTGACTGCAGATGATAGCATACAATTATTTATCTTTATAGCCTCAGATTCTAACTTTTTCACACCTACTTTTTTAATTTTATGCTATTATTATTGTACTTTGGACCCTCTTTGCATGAAAAGCAATATATTAGAGCAGAATGTTTCCAATACAACTTAGGGTAAACAAACAATCGGGTTACAGTCATGCACTAACTGCAAGAGTCTTTCTAGCTCTCTCATTGAAATGAATCTTGTTATATAACCTAAGAAGTTTCTGTTGTTTACATTTTAGTTACTTTGGTTGAACATGTATAACAATAAATAAAACTTATAATTAAAAAGAAAAAAAGTAGCACTTAGTTGCACTTCACTTGATAACTTATGGCTAAATATAACTACAGTGAATTATGACACATGATACTTCTCGTTCTATCTGATTATGACTGGATTACATTTCTGACTTTCTGCTTTTCTTAACAAAGAAAAAAAGATAGTTTTGGTCAAAACGTGATTTGCAAAAAGAAGTGAAATTTAACTGTTAAACTGGCTTCCATTTATTGTTAATGTTCACCTAAAACATAGATGTTGTTAATTTTCAGAGTTAAAGAAAGACATTTAGATGTGAATGTGTGGTTGTATCATGAAACTGTAAATTAGTAAGTTGTTCTAATATATGTACACACACACAAATATATAACCTTTTGAAACCAACTAACAATCCCTGCTTTTTAAAATATTACATGATTATTACCAGTATATCTATTGTTTTGTATGCAAATGTACCCAGTACTCTGCTACCCAAATATAGTATTATTGATTTCAAATAGTTATGTGTATGTTAGCAATATTAATAAAAATTGGTTCAGATTTTTGTTTTTGTAAAACAAGTACTACTCTTATTTGTTTATTCTATTGCAATCCTGTGTAGATGATGGCCCTGGTTTACCAACAAAAGCCAGTGAAGAATTTCGCCCTTTTATTAGAAGATTGCCAGAATTCAAGTTTTGGTAAATGTGATAATTATGTCAAGGAATTGATCATACGCTACTTAAATACATGTGTTGTAATTTAGGGTTATGAAATGTGCTTCTTTGAAGCTTTATTGAACTGTAAAGTTGGAAGTATTTAGTGTTTGTTGAGAAAGTATTTTTCTTTTTAACACTGTAAGCAAGTAAAATTGGAAGGTCAATTTTTGAAGATGACATTTGCCTGATGTACTCCTTGAAACTTACTACAAATTTATAGATTAGCACACCAAAATACAAATAAAATTTTTCCTGAAACAATAACAGTATGTAATTATTAAATTTGTAATAACTAATAATGCAGGTTTATAAACATACTTTAAAAGACAGAAACAGATATTATTGTTCTTCAACAAGAAATTAAATATTAAAATGTCAATTGTTAAGATGCTATAAAAGGTTTAATGTTGGAAAATATAAGGGTATCACCAGCATATCCAAAATACCATAATGGACATAGTTATTTAGGACATAATTTAAATTAATTCATGTAATTATTTTAAAGTTTGATGTAAAAAGTGAAGAAAGTTCCCCTTGTATATTGTCAAATTGTCAAGCTTTTAAAGAGCTTTGGCAGTTGGTTTTTCACCACTTTTAGAACTCAAAGGGTGTCAATGATGTTCCTTATTTTTTTCATTTTTGCAATAAAAATGATTAAAATTGTGTGTAACCTAGAACAAACTAATTGAATAATATTGTTTTTTTTTGTTTTTTTTTTGGCTTTCAAATGTTCATTTCATTTTTCTATCATTTTTTTTATGTTGGGAAGCTGTTTTGAAAAACATCTTAGAATTTCAATTATTTTGATTGATCTGAAAGTTCCATTTTATATGTCCAGTCAATTTAAACTTTGTTGATATTGGTTAACATATTTCTTTGAGTACTTTATTTTGCCAGTTGTGGTAATTACCACTTCTGGCTATAGATCTAAAAATAAAACAACACAAAAACCAACAAATATTTATTGGATACATAGGGCCTGACTTTTTACAATAGTCAGTTCAGGCTAGGTAACTGTATTTTTCTTAACAATGTTCTTGGTCAAGGTCAATTTGCCCCCCAATGGCACAGCAGTATGTCTGCGGACTTACAATGCTAGAATCTGGGTTTTGATACCCATGGTGGGCAGAGCACAGATAGCCCATTGTGTAGCTTTGCGCTTAATTACAAACAAACAAACAAGGTCAATTTATATATAATAAGTATAGTTTATTATCAATAAATAATGTTCTTTTATTTATGTGCATAATTTCAACATGATACACTTAACATTAATATTCAATAAATAAAGATTTTAGTTAGTATAATATTTTTACATTACCTACATTATTTGCTAAAGTTTAACTAACTTACCTGTTGTCCTGTCACAGAAGAAAATTTCTGCAGGAGCTCAGTGTAGGCATTTTCTCAAAAACAATAAATTACTTCTCACACCACTATATTCACTATGTTGATGTAAATAGTCTATAATCTGATTTATCCAGTGGTATTTAAACTTAGTTTATCTAATTTCAAAGAGGAGCTTCATTAGTAACTGTTCAGGTCACATACTATGAGATCATAAAAGGGTGGGAATGAAAGGCTGTATTAATGAAACCACTGAAAGAGAAAGAAAATCATGTAAGAAACAAAACAGGGATAAATACATTCTCAAGAGATGATAGTTTCTTAAAAATATATAAACCCATGCTTTGGGAGGCAGAAAAATTCGAAATAAATCAGTAAGTACATTGTTTACAGGCAAGAAAGACTCCTATGCTAAATAAATTTTGCAGAATGAAAAATGTCAATTCCAAAACAATTTTGAGTTAAAAATTGTTAAAATATAGATAAAATTATTATTTCAAATCTGATATGTGGAAATGCACATTACACCTGAAAGTTGCTCTTTGTGTGGAAAGGGTTAAAAGAAGGTAATAATGATAAACTTAAGTCAGAACAGGAGATGAAATGATAGAAATGTTAGTTTCAAGTGTTTCTAACTCAGAGCTGTGCAAACAAAACTGATTTCATTGTTCATATACGATTTAGTAACACTGCAATCTGTATTTCAAAGAACCAAAAATATATAAATTCATTTGTAACAAAAAAAATACTACATCACGGTATATAAAAGTTAATAGCCATTTACTGAATTGCTGAGCTTTTATTTGTTACAGTCAAGTGATGTGATTATAAAGTTTTAGCTAACTAAAACAAATCCACTTTCAGTAGTTTAGAATATGAACACTATTATGATGTTAAGACACTATAAAGTTCTGTTCCAATGATCCATAGTCATCATTTTCACAGGTTTGTTCGTGGTACCATCAGAAAATGTATGAGCATAATATTAACTAGTTTCTAAAACAAGACAATGTTTCAATCTGAGAAGGCTGGTATAGAACACAAAACATTGTTATGCTCTACAGATAGGCAGGAGCAGTCTATTAAAGCCAAGGCCTTATGATAAACTTGTTTTATTGTGGTCAGCTGTTTACTGTTGAATTCTAACGTTACAGATTGTGTACTTAATTATTCTTTATCATAGCTTGTTCAGGACTTTTAATCAATTTTTATATTTGAAACATTTCAACCCAGTTTGTTTAAGTTAAATTTCTTACTTTGACCAAATTAGAATGGTTTTGCTATTTATTTTGCTATAAATGAAAAAGATCCAGCTGTTAATTATATAAATATTTGTACTTTCAGGTATTCTGCAACTAAAGCCATAATGATTGCCATGGCTTGTACATTTTTCGATGCTTTCAACATCCCAGTTTTCTGGCCAATTTTACTTTTGTATTTCTTTACTCTATTTTGTATCACCATGAAAAGGCAAATAAAGGTAAGAGGAACTTGCTACTCTATACTCTATTTCTTACAGATAGAACAAACTGCATTGGGAATGCACATTTTCTAAATTAAGCTTAATTAATAAAGCAAGTGAGCACATTAAACAAGTGATTTCTTAAAGAGACTATTAAAACTGGTCATTATTAGCAGGTTCCCACTGACAAAACTGTGGACTTTGCATATAACAGTGAAGACCATGTATTCAGTTTATAAAATATTTTGCTGAAACACTAATTCAGTAAAACTCAATTGAATTTACATCACGATCTGTACCTGTGTTCACACTTATTTGTGTTTTGAACATATTTGTTTTGCCATACCTCCTTTAGTAGACATCAAATCCTAGTCAGAGCTATTCATCCAGAAATAAATATTCAATTACCACTTAATACTGGAATAAACTTTCAGAAAATTCTACCCCTCATCAGTGACTCTAGACAATGGCAAATCAAAAGAACATGACTAGGATCCATATGTTGGTGAAGTATATAGTCTATATTGGATATTTGTAGTTCTCTTTTGTTCACCCCCATGAGTTCATATTTATATACGATGTGAAGAATGTATAGTATTATGCTACTAATTTATTATTCTAAATTATTCAACAAGCAGACTGTTTAATATACCAAAGATGAATATGAAACACAACATGACATTACCCTTTGTTGTAGCTATTTATTTCTAAGTTCTCCTGCATCATCACACTTCATCATCTCCATGGAAGATTCAAATAAAACATTTTGATACTCCAGGACAACCATCAGTATTATTATGTATAAACTACTTCATAATATCTCAATAAAACTTATAGAAGTGATCTGGAGAAAGCTTTAATGATATATATTTAGTAGTTAATTGAAATTGAATTCCATTCACTTCATTTATAAAATAAAAATAGTTTCACATGTTTTAATTTCATAAAAATTTGTTTTTGTAATTGTTGTATCCTTATACATCAATTCTTATTATTTTTTTTTTGCTACTAAGTATGCTATTAAGAAAAATGTTCTCTTCTGCATTGAAGTAGTAACCAGGAGCAACTAAATGTAAAAGTAGAGATGCATCACATGACACAGAGAAATGTATATAGAAATATTTGTTTTTGAAATTAAGTCTCAGATAGTATGAAACATTTGAATTATAAACTACATTTTAATACCAAGTTGATTAATATAAATTGATAATAAAGTTGTTAAATTAAATTTTGAACATACATCTGTAAAAGGCATGACATACATTTTGACTTAAAACGACTATGCCTCTCTATAGACAATTTATCCATTGTAGGCTAAAAGTTGCTTCACTATTGATCTAATAAAGAAGTGAATACTGAATGAAAAATGAAGTAAAAGCAAGTGTTTAACATGACTTACAACAACGTTTGATATCAAAAACCATTAAATTGCTGCACTCCATCTCTCCTCTTTAATTTTCTCTGTTCCCTTCCATGGAGCCCCCAGTCCCTCAGCAGTGAGCCTAGAGGCTTATAACACTTAAAACTGTTTTTCAATACCTGTGGTTGTGGGCAAAGCACAGATAGCCCACTGTAACCAATCAAATGAACCTTTTATGGGTTTCAGAGTGTCTAACCAATTAGAAACACAAACTATAAATATTGACAAGTCATAGAGAGAACATTAAGCACATCACACCCATCATAGAAGTTCCTCCCATCTCTTCATGCTTTTAAAAGAAGCCACTTATTTATTCACACTTACTTGTCATATGAACATATTTATAATCAATAAAAAGAGTGTTCTATGAACTTCACAAGTCTGACTATTGTCTTTTGTGTATGTGTGTGTGTGATCAAAGCCAGTATTTCCTGAGGAAATCTTGATGTGTATAGACTAAATTTGGTGCTCTGAGCAATAACAATTTTTTTAAACTATTTATGGCTTATTTAGAAAGGAACATAGATTTTAATAGTTTTGGGATTTTCTGTTCTAGTGCTTGTTAAAATGCATATTTGAATTCTACATCCATTATTTATTGGAAAAAATCAACATAATTAGAAAAAAAAGTGAGGATATGAAAGCAGGCACCCAAGTGCAAACTGGCCTCAGACTAAGGGAACTGCTATATATTTTATATTTATTGTTATGTATTTTCCAGAAATGGTAAACTAAAATTTAAAAAAACTTGTTAGGTTAGATAAATAAACTTAAATGAAAAATAAATTAACAAGAAACATTTTTCATGATCACTTTTTGAGGAATGCACGAGGAACATGCAGTTTGATGTTGCATAACACTTTGTTTACCCTAAGCTCGCAAATGTCCTGTTGAGTGATTTATTGCCTGTCACAGTACTGAGAGAGGGTTTTAAGAACAACAGAAAAAAATTAAAGTAAATATGAAAGATAGAAGTTAAAATTGTTAGGATAAATAATTAATAATTGTCTATTACAATATGCAAAAACAAATATATAGTTAACTGCATAGGCAACAAAGATATCAAAATTAAAGAATAGGTTAAACAATCAAAGTTTTTATTATTATTATTTGAAGAGGATAACATTTCAAGCTACACTCTTTGTCAGATTTTACAGCTTACAACAAAAACAATATGCAGTCATTCTAGGGGAAAAAAATATTTTTGATTTTGTTTCATATTTCTCATTTCAGTATCCATTATTGATTTTGCTACAGTTTGTGTTAGAATAGAGAAATAAGGGATGAAATATAAAGTTTAACCAAAAAATATTGGATATTCATTCAGGAGGTTCTAGAAGATAAAAAAATGAAATTTAAAAATTGTAAGATGAAAAGAAGTATTTTCATTCTTAGTAGGAGAATCACCTAACATTAAGATGGACTCAGTAAATGCTTTGGAAATCCACAGACGAATCTTCAGTAGAAATACTTTTTCCATTAAAAATTCAAATTTCTTTGGCCAAATTTCATGAAAATGCATGTAAATTTGGATTTATAGTAAACATTACAATGATACTGATCTGATTCCATGCACATAGAGTTAATGCACTTTTTACATTTTGTGGTGCAGAATGAAACATTCTACCTTGAAAACTGAAACCAGTAGAACTTTCAAGAATTGGTAATTTTATGAGAGAGAGAAAATATTACAATCAAAATATACTATAACTTAGTGGAAAAGTAGCTAAAAGTTTTGAACATGTAATTTTCTGTGTTGTTGTCAAATTTTGGGTATTTTTTCTCTTAACTACAAAGTTTTTTATTTTTTTACAGCACATGCTAAAGTATGGCTATTTGCCTTGGACACGAGGAAAAACCATTTATCATGGCAAAGAAGATTCTGGGAAAGTTATCCAAGTAAAGTGAGCCCTGTGCCTTCTAGTTTTACATTTCAGACACAGTTTTGAATTGTGGTAATTTGATTGAACAAATAGTTTGTTTAGGCTGTACAGAGAGGGAGGAATTTCTTTTCAAACATTTAAACTTGTGTAGTCGTGTATCTTCTCTTGGTTTTCTGAAATTTCATGGAAACAGAATACGAAAAAGGGGCAATTGATAAAGTATTTATCTGTTTTTAGGCGGCAAGTCATTTTGTTATTGTTTGCCTATTATGGTTAATCAGACATTTTTGTTTTCATCCCTGACCAGTAGAAGGCATGGTTAATGAATGGAAAATCATCTCCAGCCACCTGTACACTGCAACATGTTTTTCAATTCCAACTCTCCTGTCTTGTGTTATGTAATCAAATCTTGTATAAATGTAAAAAATTAAACACTGAGTTTTGTTGAAATCTGAGATTGTCATTATATCAGCTTTTGTTATTCCAAACATTAGCATCACAATAATGCATTCATTTCTATAAATTTGTAAATAGCTCTCAAAAAATGAAAAAATCGCAAAGCTGTATTTTTCTCATGGTAGCCTCCAATTCTTTATTTGCAACAACTTGTGAAGTTAAGATTGGACAGAGCACAGGTAGCCCATTATGGTGCTTTTATACTTAATAACAAACGTGCATAGTGTAATATTTTGATGGTTTGGATAGTTGTAATAACCAAAAATAGTAACAATTGGAAACATTAATTTCAGTTAGTTGATTATTTCCATGACATTAATCGAATTAATCGTAATTTTGAATTGATTATTTTACTTGAAACTAATTGATGCTCATAGGTAATCAATTATATCAAGTTAATTGCCTAATTCAAATAAAGAAACGTTTTTCTAAACCATAAATTTACATTAAAACTGATGCAAACTCATCATCAGTTCTTTAATGATGCTTCAGTACTATTTCAAGTTGCCCTTGAATTCAATGAATGTTAGTAATGTTCATATTTTCACAGGATGTAGTAAGAAATACTTAACTGTGAACTACAAGAAATAAATTGAGTATTAGTTTTAGGAACATGCTGTACACTAAACATACTTTGTCATAGAAGTTGTTTACTCATAGCAAAAATAACCTAACAAATGAGTAGTTCAATACACTTAGAAAGTTCTGAAAGATGTTGTGGTTTACTAATAATATGAATTTCTAAAAGTTATTTGAATTTAAAATCATGCATGATATGGTACTATCATATGTAAGGTGTTGGCATAATCATTAAATATTTTAAATAATTATAAAAGTATCCTCTTGAACATAATATAAAGTTATTTTCATGGTGTTTCTTTCCAAAAATAGCTGTAACTGATATTATATTTTGTAAATGCATCCCTAATGTATAGATTCCTATTCAAGTCTTAAAATTTTCTTTCTCAAATCTTACCTTCCTCATGTGTTGATGTGTATTGCTGTGTTAATATTTATTTTAAATTGTCATTGTTACTATTAAACTACTGGCTTTAGGTTTCCCCACCAATGACAAGCTACCACACTATTTAAAGACCCTTTGGAGCATGACAGACTATTTTGATAGTTATGTTTATGCCTTTTTTGTCTCTTTTAAGTTATAGTCCAAAACTTTATGTATTTACCCAGCTTGTTTATTTCGAGCCTGGCATGGCCAGGTTGTTACGATGAAGTACTTGCAATCTGCAGGTCATGGATTCAAATCCCCACCCACCAAACATGCTCGCCCTTTCAACTAAGGAGAGTTATAATGTGACAGTCAATCCAACTATTTTTTTGTACAAGAGTGTAATTAGCAGTAACCTATAACAAAGGTACAGAATAAAATAAAGTCTCATTTGTCATGATAAAACTCCTCAAAACATCTTGTGAAATTATGAGATTAAGCATTTAGATTGAAACCACTGAGAAAGCATATGAACTGTAAACCAGTGGTCATCATTTTCCTTTATCCACTTTGACCATGAATAGAAAAATGAAGTTCAATTGAAATTTTTATAGAATAAAACACGTTACACTTTTTCAAGGTTAATATTTTCTTTAGTTTGACTATAAATCAACATCTAAGGTTTTTTACAACATGACATTATCAGCTAGAATTTTCAAATAATTATTCTTCAAATAGTTGAGAAACTTATAGATTTCCTATCTATAAGTGTCTCAACTACAAAATCTTTTAATGTCATACTTAATATATTTCTCTTTCTCTTGAATGGAGAGGTGTTTTATGTAATTGTAGATTAATTAAAGTTGATTTTCTTAAGAACAATATACAAGCTCAGAAGTTTAAGTAGTTGAGACTTGGTTGTGAAATACAGTATTACACACAGCAAAACATTTCATTTTGAAGTTATGCTAAATGAACTGGGAAATCTTGTCATTGCAAGATAGAGATATATAAACTTATTGTTCAGACTGACATAGCATGATGATAGATTTCATCATATTTAACCCTATCCGAACTCTGTCTTTCATTGGTTATTGAATCCCAGATTTCAACATCATAAGTCCTTAAATTTACTGATGGGCATGTTAAGAACTGAATAAGATTATGTCGAAAAGTGAAAATGAGATTGTTTTTGCCACAGTTTGATTTAGAACTGACTTTATTTCTTCATCTATATTTGAAATTCGTTTACATCTAAGCTTTTCTATTTTCAAAACTTTTCATCTGTGGATTTGGAAAGCTGTTTAGTTATCAGGAGAAATCAGCAGGAAGAGTTTATTTATAATCTTAAATAATAAAAAATTAGAATATTGCAATAGTTATAAGCTTAATAATATATAATATTAAAAACAGCTTTCTTTCCAACTAGTTAATAAAAAAACAATGTAAGTTGTGTGTACAATAAAATTCTGAATTAAATTTGAACATTTCACATTTATAGTAACATAAATGACATAAAACCTATTCTTATCAGACACTTATTCTTAAAAGAAGGCAAATAATGTTTTTTTATCAGTTTTTTATGTTATTCCCATTCTTGTGTATTTTTAATCCAAGAAGGAAATTTAGATGTTTTTGAAACAAGAGAAAACACAAATCTGGAATATTTGTATACAGAGTATTAGCTGTATTTTTCAAAAATAACTCAATTTTAAAATTTTTCTGATTTTTATTATGAATAGTTGTACAAATGCAGATTAATTTTTTGTTTTCCTGAAATAAAATTATAGTAATTCATTTATCAGTCTAATGTAATATAAGCAAATTAAACTTCCAAAAAAAAGGTATATCAGACTGTTTTAGATATTTCCTTCTAATTTTCAATTTCTGAACATTAAGATGAAAAATATGCCAGATAATAAAAATAGTTTATTACTTAAGAAACTTTTTCACAAGCCTATTACCAGCTATAATTTAAAACTTTTTATCTTTTTTTTTAAATTGCTGACAACTTTTTATTATTTGAAGCTACTAAAATTTGATGACATATTAATTTGTTTGTCCGAAAACAATGTGGAACTCTGTCATTTTGCTCAATATAATTTTTGTTTTTTACTTGAATTTTGAATTCATCCTGAATATTACTTGTTACTGCTTCACATGTTATTCTGTACTGCTGCAAGTACTTCAGATCTGGCTGAAAGGCACATTACTGACACAATTCCTCTAATGTCTAAGTTTGATGATTATCACAACAGTGAGCTTTGAGGGAGTCTGAAAAGTCAAAATTGTAAATATTTTAATTAAGATACCAAAAGAAAAGCTACATTTGTAAGAAAGTTATATATATATATATTTGTTTCTTTCTTTCTTTCTTTTTATTAAACATAAGAAGAAATAAAAGCTAGTTATTGAGTTTCATTTGTTAATTGTCAAATTCAAGAAATGTTAACATAATGTGGTCAGTTTCACAATTATGATAATAGAGGCAAGAAAAACATAAGCTTTTGTTAGACTTCATAATTGTTTTAAAATAAAATCCTCGTTTTTATAGTTAACTAGAAAAGCTCTTGATAGTTACTCTTACAGGATACCAGAATCACTCACATTTGGCTTGACTAGACTAAAATTAGATAACATGTACATATATTTCTTCTTGAATTATACTGTTGACAAACAAGGATTAGGATTATATGTTTGAATTACACTGTTCATATAATTGTATGGTTGCTTAAATTATACTCTTACTTTTTTTGTACACTAAGTACACCTTGAATACTGCCTTATGTTTTCAAATTGCTACTTAGAGCACACTGTAGATACATTATTAGTTGAACTACATTGTTTATGTATATATATACACTTACTTGAACTACAATATACCCATATACTAGCTTGTACTTTAACAACACTGTATTTGAACTTAATAAATAGAACTGTGAATGGAACATACCTGGGTATTAAGTACACGTACCTTCCATCCTGAATATTATAGTATTTCCCACTTGTAATAAGGTTTTTCCATGGGTCTATGATATGCATAACAAAACCACTAGTTTTATCAGGTCAACAGTACAACACATTCTGGAAAATTTGGTCAGACAATACATCCACCAGACCAACAACTGAGTTTAGCACAGTGTACAGTTTTATTGGTTTGTATTAAGAGTAATATGCCACAATGACTCCAAGCCAAACAAATGTTTACTGCAGCTTGAAGAACTTTAATATTGTTATAATGTTTAGAGTAATCATAGTCGTACAGGTGGCCACAAGAGCAGTATTGTTAGTATATTGGTATAATTGAACATGACCTGTCAGCTTGGGTACATCAGCAACATAAAGAATATACAAAATGGTAATAGAATGGATCTTTGGGAAACTCCAGCAGAAAGATTAAAGGACTGAGAGAGAGAGAGTCATCTAAAGAAAAATAGCTGTCAACTTTCACAGAAAAATTGATTGATAATTCACAATATACAAAAGAGATGATAGATGGATCTTTGGGAAACTGCAGCAGAAGGATTGAGTGTCATCTTAAGAGAAATAGCTGTCAGCTTTCACAGAAAAATTAATTGATAGTTCAGATCTAGGTAAATGATAGTTTAGAAGTTGGTAGTCTAATAATGAAGATGAAGACAGTTGACAAAACACATAACATGTTATTTACAATATTTGAATAAAACCAGAAAAATTTAATGATTTTTCTATCATTACTACAGGATCTCTAGACCTTGAACTCTACATTAAAGAAAGTTTACTCATAGTTAAAGACTGCCCTACTCTTAATGACTTAATAAACCTCTTTATATCTAATGTTATTCTAAGTTAACACACTTAAAACTCAACTGTTTTGCAATATATATAAAATCTTTTTTTGTTTTTGTTTTATGCTTCAGTTTACCATTTTACATAATAATAAGTTAACTAGTGATTAATAATACTGTAGTGTTAGTTAATAACACTTTAGATTTTTAGATTTCGCTGAAGATGGAATAATTGTATAACGAAATGTTTTGTAAACAGTCTTTATCTTCATTAATAGAGT